ATGAAATTGGTAACATTCAATAGAGCGTATAAAGCTAACATCTTTAATTTCAATTCCACCGAGATAATCTACGGAACACTTGTAGCGGTACACGTAATCCTAAAATTGTTCGAAACATTTAAAAAGTTACAAGATAAACACATCGTGTTCTTTAATGAGATTTACATAACACCTGCATTACAAATTCAATAAACGATAAAATGTCCGGAAACGTGAAAACATGCACGATCGTTTTTATAAGATTCGTAAGTGTACCGTAGAGTTACGAAAAACGGGCGATCGTATAGCGGAACAGGCCATTTCCCGTGCTTCCTATAAAAGCAAAGTAAAGCGAAGAACAGGTCAGATCAGACAGGAGTAGACGACACGACAGTCAGATACCGAAACCCGAGTGGACCCGAGAGTCCGAGTTTCGAGACACACATTACACAGTGTCCAAAGCGATAGAGCATCGATATTTCATAATATCGATAGTTTAGAAATGTTGAGATATCGATATTTCGAATCGATATTTCAGATTTTGATAGTTTGAGATTTCGATACTGAGTTTACATTTGTTCGTCGAAGAATCCAACCCAAGTGTCTTATCGTGTATACATATAATTAAAAGAAGGGCAGGAAAGTATGAATATAATGATAATTAATTGTAAGCAAATGACGAGGATAGCCACCAGTTTGTTGACAAACGGTGGTAACTTTTCAAGAAAATACGTCACTTCTGTAGCCGATTACAAAATTACTTGGGTACGACCGGAGAAAGTGTCGTATTTGTCATCTGAAAAATCTGGTGATCAAGGATTAGAAATTGATGTCAAATCATCTGATTTTGCTAAAACGTATAATGAATTACCCGAACTGAAAAAGTAAATACTAATGCAACTATAGATGGTAATTATTTAGAATACCCCTCCCCCTCCCCCCCCCGTCTACTTAAAATCTTAACTTAATAATAATATGCTTCGACGCGTTTTCACAAAACGAAAGAATTTGGCGGTCGACCTCGTGAATTGATTTTATTAAGCGTCCAAGTTTAAGACTTTAGAGGTTAAAATATCTGTCAGTCCGACTCGAGCACTATGTAGGTATATATTCTGCATTAATCACACCAATTTTCTACTTCACAAACACATGCTGCTAATGCAAAAAATTATGTGTTTAAAGCAGTGAATTTGTGTAATTGAAGCAGAACGTATGCATAGTGCTGTATCGAGTCAGGATGACAAGATATCTTAATCTCTAAAGTCTCAAACTTACGCTTAATAACTCGATTCAGAAGCTGACTGCCGCGTTTTTCTGCCAGATTTTTTTCGTTTTCAGTGAAAATGCATCGACAAAGTATATTTCTATTAAGATTTTAGGTGGGAGAAGAATATTCTATTCTAAATAATTACCTTATAAATAAACATTTTATTTTATAAAATTAAATTCTTAAACATGCTATTTATATGTAATATTTTTGTCAGTGCCAGTGATATTGTTAAAAAGATGTTTACATTACAATTTCTACCTCGCAAAGAAACAATTAATGTTAGAAGAGACAAAATCTTGGAATTGGTTCAAAGGCACAGATTAGATAAAAATTCGCCAGAAGCTATAAGCAAGTATAGCTCTACTATAAATAGATTAGATTATATGATGGAATAATAGGCTAATGTTACCATGCTTTTACTTTTCAGTTGCCATTATGACTAATGACATACATCAGTTGCAAGAAGATTTAACGAAATGTCCCAAGAACAAGAAAATGAAAGTTCGTTTGCTAGAAACAATTGCAAAACGAAGGAAAATGCTCAAATATTTACGGCAATGGGATTATAGACGTTTTGAGTGGATCTTGGAGAAACTTAATCTTGTTTACAAACCACTACCTGAGTGAGTGCTTTGCAAATATCAATATACATTTATCCTATATTTTGCTGAAAGTTTATAAATCTGATCTTACTTTCTACAAAATATTTAATAGATTACCGCATCAGATTACCAGAAAGGATTCTTTAAGACGTTTAACGGAAAAGCATTGTAACGAACTTGTGCAAGAAAAATTGGATATTTACAAAGAAGAATTGAAAAAGTTACAAAAGGATTTTTATATAGAAAAGGCAAAGAAGCTCGCATTTATCAGGGAGGAAGAAATAACATGTGGATTACAACCGTCAGTGAGCGAGGAGGATATTGCATACGCTAAGCAAAAAGCAATTGAATATCAAACATAATACACACACACACACACACACATGTATATATATATATATATATATATCAATTTAATGTAATTTAGAAACAATACAAATGTAAACGAAAGTTTATGTTGTCAGTAAGTGTGTGTATCTTTTCATATTTCATTTTGTCTATTCCATTTAATGGACATTTTCATTATTTGAAATTTGTGGCAATCGATTTCTTGTAAACTTGATGGGAAGATTTTTATGAAAAAGTACATGATAAATAGTACAGAAAACTACATGATATGAGATCTTGGAAATTCTTAGTTTTTCGTAGATATTCATAGTGAGGAGTAGTTTGAAAAAGTGTTTAAAAAATTAAAAAATTCTCCGTTCTTTCCGTATACGTCTTCCGACGTTGTATCATGAATTTTTACGAAACATTTTTTCCATAAAAACTCTACGTGATAGAATTCCTGTATAGGAAACAGACAATGCTACTCTATGTCTCATTACGAATATCTACAAAGAAACTAAGAATTTCTAAAGATGATCTTAATGTCTCAACCTGTAATGTAGTTTCCGTAAAAATTTTTCCACTAGGGAATAATTAGAAAAAACAGATGAGTTTACAGATGAGCACACGACAGAATCTGCTGTGTCGAGTTGTTATCCACAAAGTAAACGTTGAATTAATGAATGATATCAATTCTCGATCGATATATAATCGATATATACGTATATAGTTTTATATTATTTGTGAAAGTAACGCGCGCGCGCGCGTGTGTGTGTATAAAATATATGTTGCGTATTTTTGATCCTTTGGATCGTGTATTACGCACTTGACGCGTTTAACTTATAGACGATCGCGGAGTGGCTTTCAAGTTTTAAATTCTTAATGAAATTCTGTAATGAAAATTTATTAATTGATTACTCTATTTAATATTATTTCTATTATATATTATTTAGATATTTTTTTAGATGGTGAAAATTATGAAAGCGTCGTGATCGTGATAAAATTACGATGCAAATTCGATTACTGGCGGCTTAATGCATGACTGGCAAATAGCAATCATGATATTACTATTTAGCAAGGATTGAACATGTATAGTATATCTTTTAACGATGTTGCGAGTTTATAACTCGCAATATGCGGCTGATCGCGCAATCTCGGTATTTCGGTCGCGCGTTATGTTGACGATCGAGGCAATAGAGTATTA